AGTTTAAAGAATTTATCAATCCGAATATGTCAGTTGTTTTCATTTCCCAAGCAAGCTTTTTAACCACATGTTCCCCGAGTTGCCTTCTGAGAAAGAATAACTGAATGATGTTTTAAAACTTAGCACAAAAACACTGACAGTTCGCCTTCAAGGGAGTAATAATTGATGATGTTTGATAAACTAAGAACAAAAACTTGACAGATCTTCAATATATGTTTTCTCTATTACCAATAATAGAAAAAAAGGTTTTAAAATGAAGTAAAAGTTAAAAGATATGCTGATAAGTTAAATGTATCTTATAATTCAAATAGGAATCGGCCAGTACCTGCTTAAGGACATAGTGGCTAGCTCTATACTGATATGCATGGCAGTCATACATGCGACAGAATCAGTACCTCAGTGCTGTTAAATAGGTCATAGTATCACTTAATGTAATGTAGTAGCTCCAAGTTGATATAAAAAGCAGTTTTATGTAGAGAACAGTACCTCAATAATAGGGTAGAGTCGGTAGTCTGCAACTCTGTTGATACCAATGACTAAATCAGCAGGAATGGACGATATACATATTACAATATAGTACCAATATTGGCTTCTTATATACTTTAAGATAAGTAAGCCTTCAACGATACTTTACAATGTGAAATGATGAATAACTTGTTTTGGTTACACATTATAGGTAAACATATGTTACTTGTTTTTGTATTTACTAATTTGTTTACACTGTCATTTCAACTCAAACATTATTAAACTAAAATTATACCTAAAATTTGAAAAAGATCATATAAGATTTAAAATTGACACAAAATATTTTCAGTGATCAAGAAATTTTTATGTTTTCCAAGTCATTCACTAAGCACGGAAATTAGTAATTTAAAATTTAAACAACACAGGAGAGTGCACTTTCAATGCAAGGAATTATTTTTTTACTAACATAGTTTAGCATGTATGGACCATGAGCAAAATATTATAGCCGACTCCAAGTGAAAAGAAACTTACCATTTGCTGACAGTACTATTAGTACTATTCATGTATCAAACCAAAGCATGATATAATTTGATTGGTAAAAGTTACTTTATCAGACTAAATGGCAATTATAATACCCTCATTTCCAAGCATGCCTGGATTAAAAAAAAAACCCAACCCTACCAGTTAAAAATCAAATGTAGAAACTTAGCAATAATGGCTTTAACTTTAAAATAAGAAGTTAGAAATAAGGGATTAGTGAACATTGTGGATATAACACGACACGTATCTATCAACAAACCCCTTCATGAATTATCACAAGTCAAGCATGTTTAGTTTTTGTATGATAACAATAGGGTTTCACTAAACATTTATAATCTTTCAAACATTAAAATCTCTGTACCATTTATTTGTTTAGATGGGTGCCCAGATTAGTTGGCAGAGAATTGGAAATTAGCCATTTTGATGATTAATCTGTATTGGATTAAAAAAAAATAATATTTTTTTAGAAGATGATCATTTCCTGGTTTTGACTTAATCTATAGAATATTGATATATTTATGGGATTTTATCAAATGTATTAAATTAGACTATGTGAAAGACTCAGAATGTGCTACCATACATAACCACCCCCCACCCAATTGTTTTTATATTTATCTGTAACATTAAAATATTTCCTTTGCTGTCAAGACTTCAATAGCTTGTTGCGACGTAATCCTCTCTTATGAAGTTGATGTTTTGTTATTTCCGAGCTCTCATTACGGTAAGTTTCAAACCAAACCAGTGTGATAGATGACATGGTCACAGATTGTTCACATCATTAATTTCATACATTTTATGCCTACATTTAAAATGCATCATGCTGTGATTTTAAATACATGTAAACACTACATAACAGGTATGGAAGCAGTCAAGTATCAGTTTCTCTTAGAATGACTTTTTCAGAAAATAATCTTTTTTTTTTTCAAAAGCAGATTTTTCAACCACCCACCCCTCCAATAGCAAAAACATTATGGTATGCTATTCATGAATTACATGCACCAAATCCTTTTTTCCCCAGCACTGCTTCGCCCGTGAACTATTGCGTTGGCACTTGGATGAAGCCACCCTTTCATGTAAAGGATACTTCCATGCCTAGCTACATCACTGATAAATGCAACATACTTTTGATAAATGCAACATACTTTTTCTAATAGGGTCCACTTTCATGGTAGAAATTAGGAGGCTAGTTTTCTTGTCTAGGAGCAGATTAAAAATTTTAGAAATTAGTAGAGTGATACTTCTGTTTCTCAATCTGTTATTGTAATAATAATTATTTACCCTGTACTCAAACAGTCACTCTATAATTGTGTAACTATTTTGTGAAATACCATAATAAATTACCTATAATTATTTACCAATACAGTTTCAAAGCAAATTAATCGAAATTGGCTGGGTTGCTTATCATTGCAACGATAACTTTAAAAAAAAATGATTTAAAATAGTATTTAATTAAATTTAACTGTGTGTGAATAGTAAAAACATTTGCAAAGATGCTTAAAATATAATAAACATAAAACATACTGGGGGTGCAAAAGATGTCACAGGACAAGTATTAGGTTTGTTTTCAAACTTCACATGATTAGATATTAAAAAAAAAAGTTTATGATAAATATAACTTCTCTTGATATAATTAGCTTTAATTAATTATTTATACAAATAAATCCTTTATAATTAATTAAAATTCATAACTATGTATTCCAAATCAAGAGTAAGAGATGTTATATCTGTCAACTTGTATAGTATCAATGGAATTTGAAACTGATGTCAGCATTCTTATTTTTATAAATCTTTTTCTTCAAAATATTTTTTAAAAAAAAGGTTTACAACATTATATGTATTATAGAGCAGCCTCCAGTTTGTTGATGAAATGAAATGTGCAACTGAAACTTCAAATTATGTATGTGAAATACATCCAATAATTAAATAACATAACGGATTGAATCTGAGAAAACAAGCAAGTCTGTCTCTGTATATTTAATGATGATAGACTTTTCTTTGCTTACATATTAAGTCTACCTATGGTCAGAAAAACACCACCCCAATTAGTTCGATATCTGTAATAATAACTCAACTCTTTGTCCTCAGATCTTGTGATTAGTAGATTTAAACAAAAATATGCTACTATTATAAATGGCCTTTATTAAAATAGGTATATTATTTCATGACTCATTGTAATCAGTTTTTAGTGTTGTGTACAAAAACGCTCTGAGGATGTTAACAAGTAAGTATTAGATAAGAACATAAATTCAAGCCAAGATAATCTTAAATGAACCCAAAGTACTTACTGAAAACATAGAAGGCAAGATTGGCTGTAGGATGTTACTTATAATTTATGTTACTTATAATTTGTACATCTCTTTTTTGCAGATAATTATTGTATGAATTTTTTAAAACAGAATTTACTGCATTCATCAATTCAAAACAGTGCACTTATTAACTGTTATAATTTATATTTATAATTCTTGATTTATTTATTTATATAATTAATAATTAATATTTTTCAAATCCATTGGTCATGAAAATACAAATGACTTTTTGTGCACAAAGAGACATATGAACATTAAAATATTTTTAAAAATAGTGTAAATAAATATCTAGCAGCAAAGACCGAGAAGACTGAAAATCAATGTCACAGCACAAAGTACCCAGTTTAAAACATTAAAAAAGAAACCCAGTTTTATTCTAATGTAAAAATAAATGTGATCTTATAATACAGAACTATAGTACATGGTGACAAGTGTTGAAGTAGATGCATAAATTAATAATAGCTGTTTGTCCGTAAACTATTTATAAAAAAGCTAGCCTGGTTATTACTGACATTTATTTATATTTTACTTAAAATTTATATCAAGAAACACAACTAATGCATCTCTCTCATTCTGCAAAGGTGGATAATTTTAACAGGGAAAGTTTTTATTAGCACCAAAAAATACTTTCAATTTTAGTGAACATTAAACTTGTATAATAGAACTAACAATAACAAATTTAAAACATGAAAACCTGCATAAAATGCAGTGATATATCTAGGGTGGGCAAGATAGGGCGTGTTTAATAGGTGCAAATTAAAAGGGCACAGAAAAAATCCAGGGGAGCTATTCCACTGTTTGTCATAGGCGCTATTTACCCTAGATACACCACTGAATGTGAACTGTGAAGAAATAGTAATTGAAGAATAATACTCTTCAACTTGATTTTGGAACCTACAGCACAATGGAATAAAGGGTACAATATGTTCATAATAAAAATTCAATTTTTTTAAACAGTGCTAATTATATACTAATTATTTGCACTTTAAAAAATCAGTCACAAAAAAAAATAAGCCAAAATCTTTCCTCACTTTAAGTCAAATATCAAGTGAAATTTATGTTTACAGGTCCTTCCAGAGTTAATCCATGATATTTAGCTCAACCACGCAGTGGCTTTTTAACATTATTTTCTTTGTATGTTCGATTGCTCCAAAATTATAAATTTTATGTACAGTACTTAAAATAGATTTCAAATTTATAACATTAGAAATGAGAAATTGTAATACCAAGATAATATGGGTACTTACAGAGGCCAGACACTGAGACTTGAAGACTTGTGTCTGCCATCTACAAATCCTTTCTATTAGCCTTTAAGTCAATGATTCGATGTAGTAGTGGAGAATGCTTAAAGAAATTTATAGTAGATTGTAAAAGTGTATTTTTAATAATGTATAAATCCTGTTAAAAGCATTTAGTAAAATAGTGATTTAAGAAGATTCCATGTGCTATAATTTGTGAGAGAGCTGGCCAAATGCTTTCAGCTTTATCTTACCTAAGTGTTTATGTGTAACAATAGAAATCTGATGTTTCATGTCACATTATCTACTGCCATTTAATCAAAGTCATCATAACATGAACAAAGGATTCTTCAATTTACAGAATATTATCATTATAATTTGGTGGTTAAAAAATTCACAGCAAATCAAAATCTTCAAATACAAAGTCCCTATCTGCTTCAGTAGCTACTAATTGAGCAGCCATAGTGGCTTGCTTAATGGCAACTCTGTACTGGCCTTTTTTCTTCTTGTTGTAACGCACTTTGAAGTCCTTTAGAAACGGAAATAAGTCTGAGCAATGCATATGTGACATGGTGTTGGAGCCAAACCACGCCACTTTGGCCAACTGAGTTATCACGACATCATTATCTCGCTGCGTCACTGTGATATTTGACACCCTTCCAGGCCACCAAGGAAAGCCTTGAATTTTCCCCCATACTATATCCCCGACCCGAATCTCACGACCTTCTTCTAACATACAGCCACTCACATTCTGAGTCTGAATCTTCATCATGAGAGGTTTGATCATACCTTTATCTTCCTCCTCTCTAGCTGGAGAATTGGTACCAGGGAAGAAATCATCAGGCATCCTTTCCTGACCAGAATCATCACTGAAATCACTTAGATTTGAATCCAGACCACTAGAATGAGACTGGCTGTCATCTGTAGACTGCACCATTGAATATTCAGCTGGTGGTACAGATTCAGAACTGAGCCCTGATGAGTATGTGCTACTACTTTTACTCCTAAGAGGGTAGTCTTTTAATAAACGATTAGGTGAACTTGTAAAGTGCCAGTTTGGGGATGCACTTACAACTCGAGCGGGTGATGCATTTTTTCTCCTATGTGGAGAGCTGCCAATAGGCATAATGCTGGGAGATGTTTTAACAATGTACTTTGGAGATACAGCTGGAGTTGAGTGTTTTGGTGATGATGCCACTCGAGAAAGTCCCTGGTTTTGTTTCCATGTGTACACAAGACGAGGTCTATTGTGACTTACATTCTCCTCGATTGGGAATGTATTTTCATGGTTTTCTTCATCAGCCTTAGTTACTTCATTAGTCCAGTCAACATCATTTTCTTGTCGACTGTCAACAGGAAATTGTTCAACGTACAATTCATTCCCTTTCTTCACATCAACTGAATGCTTGAGAGAATGTACATTTAAGTTCTCAGATATATGCACAGGACTTTCATGTCTATGTCTATGCTTTTTCTTATGTTTTTTCTGAGTTTTGTAAGGCACAATTTCATCGGCTTTCAAATCTCCATTCAAGTCTTCTTTTGCCATGTTTTTTGCCCTGTCTCGCTCTTTTGATCGTTTGGCTGCCTTTTTTGCTTTTTTATGAGATTGATTGTCTGAAGAAACAGGAAGGTCCAATATTTTTATTTTTGGGACAGGAAGGTGGTCTAAATCGAAGAGAGTATCTCTGTCTGGTAGTCTGGGTGGAATTTTAAGAATATCCCCATCGCCTATTGTAATTTTGATGGCAGGTGAGGGTTTAGGATTGAAAGTACTACAACTTAATTTGTCTTTTTTACCATTTCTACTATTCACTGTTGCTCTTTTATTTTCTGAATTGTCAATAATTTGAAGCCAGTCGGTTCCCACATTGTTAGTATGTGAATTTGAGCTACCTGAACTGGATGATCGATTGTATCGAGCCTTAACATTGATGTTTTTTCTGTCAACAAGGTCTGAGAGCCTGTTATTACTGTTGCTCCTAGTCACTCCCTTCCTACTGCTGTGGTGAGTTGTGGTGCAAGGTGCTGTGGCTGCCTTTGAACTTTTATCATTAGTTTGCTTTGAACATTTGCGCTGAATGTCTTCCAAAAGGACCATGGGCGTCTGAAAGCTGCTTTTCCTCTTTCTCAACCCTGAAGGTGCAGATGTGTTGTAATGACAGCCCACCTCATGTCCTGGTGTTACTGATATCTCATTTGCAAGCATACTGTTCATACTGATATGTGGATTACTGCTGGCATAATGATTTTTATGGTTTTCATGGATGGCTGATTTACACTTAGAGCAAAGCGTTTGACGGGGTCTGAGGCGAATATCTCTAACAGTTTTTCTCCTAGCACCAATAGCTTTCATTTCAACAATAGGTATTTCAGGGACTGGACGAGGGTTAAATAGAAACGGATTAGTGCTATATGAAAATCTAGACACCAAGGCAGACTGTTCAACTTTGACATCCTTATTATCTCCTGAACCAGGGGGTTTATTTTCTGAGCCTGGTTTGATGTCAAGGGCTGATCTGGGCGATCCTTTTGAGCATATCTTATGTTCCACAGTTGGCTTATTGGTGAATGGGATGCCATGAGGAAAAAAGCTAAAATAAAAATAAAACTTTGATTAGTATGAATTTTACATGACAAATTTTTTAAGTATTATGTAATTCCTCAGGTTCATTTTAAATAATGTAATATATTAGTCTTAATAATTAAGAAATATTCAAAATTCTAGCAAAATGTGAGTGATCTTCAGTTGAAATGATGCAACCATAGCATATTAATATTTCAAGTGAAATGCAAAGGTCAGATATGGGTCATGGTTTTATGGTTTGTAAAAAAACCACTGATATGAAATAATCTCTGGTTAGTATCAGCTTAGTTGTCAAATATTTTAAATTGGATTTCTTACATACATATCAATTAAAGTATAAAAAAAATAAATCCATTATATATATGCCATTAATATAATTAAACGAATAACATATTTTAAATTTAAATAGCTTGAATATTATTTTCCGTTTTAATTTCAACCCTTTAGACTTCTGCATTTAATTGGTAGCAAGCGCAGTCATAATAAAAAATGTAAATGGTAAATCAATTTCACTACTATAATTTTTCTATTTATCCATCTCTTCTTTTTATTTTTAAAAACATTTAAATTATATCTTTAGTTGTTTTTTGGTGAATAACACGAAATATATTTTGATTTTTTCCAGTTCTATTGATGCCTTTCTGGTGGCAGAAATCTACTTGTACAATTCATCTTATGAATATATGTGTATAATATATGTGCCTGGACTCAATAAATGTTAAGGCATAAATCAATGATAAAAAAATTATTTTTGAGCTATCTTTTGATATGCAGTATTCTTTTAGATTTCCTACTGATCATCCAACAACATCATCTAAAAAAGATGAAATCTACACCATTATCTCTGAAGAAAACTAATACAAGATCGACCACAATAACCATGCTTATAAATGTCCATTCTATCCAATGGCGAATCCAGGGGGTGCAACTGAAAACCATTTGACACTTCTGACTTCTGGATTTATTAATTATTTATAAGCCTATATAAATAGTCTGTGTGAGTGGGGATTTGCACTTGGTACAGCACTAACCTTGTTTCTACTGTAAGGAATAAGGACTATATCACAATAATCTTGATTATGATGGTTTCATGAACATTTATGATCCCTTTCCCTTAACCCACTTGGGATGGCTGGGCAGATATATTGGCCCAGGGTCAAATGGTGAAAACAGGAAAATGGCGAAAAAGATGAATGGCCAATTCATCTGCCTTTTAATTCAAGCCTCGAGATTGGCTGGCTGGTATTTCTACCAGGTAATCAGATTGCTTCTCACATTTCTTGCTCATCTCTCCTGTGTTCTGTCATTTTTTTTTTTTACCTAGTGACCCCTAAAAATCCCTTAAAATTAAAAATATGTGAACTTGGAATATGTCAAAAGGTATAAGCAGTCCTAGGGGAATATTTATTTTTTTTAAAATTGCATGCATAAATTATGTAGGATATCTCATTTGCTTAAATGTTGACATTACAGTTTGATTCATAAAAATGGCGGTAGTACACAGGATGGTACTTTATTGTTCACTGAACAAGAAGTGATGTCTTTATTTAAACAACTGGGCGCAGCCAAGGCCTTGGGACCAGACAAATGAAGTGGTCGGCTCAATAAAAATCTTATGTAACTCACACAATACCAGCAATTTGGAAAATTTCAGAAATCATACCAATTCAAAAGAAAAATAAGGTAACGTGCAACAACAACTTACGACCTGTTGCACTTACCTCTATTGGAATGAAATGTTTTGAGAAAATTATTCTGAAAGAAATTTTGAATGAAGTACAGCAAAAACTTGACCCCCACCAATTTGCTTACAAACCTGCAAGAAGTACGGAGGATGCAATCTTACTATTGTTAGAGAGGCTTAACCATCACCTAGACAGTCCTAAAACATATGCCAGAGTGCTTTTCTTAGACTTCTCATCAGCATTTAACACTATCCAACAACACCTTAATTTAAATATTCAGGCTTGGATACTGAACTTTTAAACAAATCGACCACAGTATGTCAAAGTAAATAACCAATTATCTCTAACCAGAGAAATAAGCACCGGGGCACCACAAGGCTACGTTCTCTCCTTCTCTCCCTCGTACTGTATGGAATATATACCAATGATATTCAAAACTCAACCGACACCGTTCCCATCTTAAAATTTGCTGATGATAACACCATCATTGGCTTAATATCTGAAGGAGAAGACCTATACTGCAACTTAGTTACAAGCTTTATCAATTGGTGCGATGAAAATTTTCTTCAGCCGAATGTCTCAAAAACAAAGGAAATGGTTGTTGATTTCAGGAGGGGGAAACACCAGATTACAGATCTCAACATAAAAAATCAAAGTGTAGAGAAAGTGGAGGCATTTAAGTACTTAGGTTTCACCATTAATAATAAGCTAACATGGCATGAGCACGGCCAAATGCTGTATATGAAACTCAACTAAAGACTGTTCTACCTCAAAAAAACTGTAAAATTTCAGCGTAAACAAGCAAGTCATTAACTTATTCTCCAATGCAACAATTGGAAGCCTACTTAACTTCAGTATTACCTGCTGGTGTGATATTTCAACGTCTGATATTAAACACCGCATAAACCGACTAATCAACAAAGCTAGGAACATAACACAAACTAAACATCCTTCACTTGAAGAACTATTTGAGGAAAGATGTTTTTGTAAAACTAAACACATTTTGTATGATACATCCCAGCTTCTTCATCACAGATACTTAAGATCGGGCCGTTATGGAAGAATTCTTTCCGTCAGGGCGAGGACTGAAAGATATAAAAATTAGTTTGTTCCCCAATCTGTACGAATTTACCAGCGTGCTCCCTCTGAAGTCACACATCTTAATGAGAACTAATAAGTCCCCAAATTGGCTAAGAGAACTCACTGAATGGCTGTTTGAAATAATTTATTATAAATTTCTTGTGTTCAAATTGTTTTATTTATGTGCTGAAAATTTATAATGCAATCATAAAACATTTTCATTTGCTTGGATCAATAAAAGAATCTTATCTATCTTAAAGATCATATTAGTTCATTCAATTTCCTAACAGAATATTTAAAGTTTTACATTTGTAAAGCAATTAGTTTATTTTTTATATATTTTTTTTTTGCAATATGAGTGTTAAGCTTGTAAAAAGTGCTATGTCTTCATGATCATGGCACTGATGTTTCAAATAGGCTCCAATATTCCCTCTAAGGTTTTCTGGTTCGTGTGCAAAATCATAAAGTTGTGTGTAAGTTTTTACAACATCCATTTTTTTGCGTGCAAAATTTAACAGTCCACAAACACAGACAGATACGCGGATACTCAAAACTGCTGCATGGCGTCTGTGAGATAGCTGCGCGGCCGTGCAGCTTAAAGGGAACATTGCTTGGCATTATATTATTATTAAGCAGGTAAAACATTAATATTGTCTGATTGCCATAAAGGGTATATCATATTACAGCTTTCTAAAAACATCAATTACATCTTTCTATCTTTTATTGAAGTGGAGTTACGATTATTTTTCTTCAATGTTTTTAAGCCCTTTATATAATCTATACCGGTATAATTTAATCCAAAACTTGTGACCCAAATTTCAAATTTCTGCAATTTTTCGCCCACATTATTATTTTTAAAGATAATTGCACCAAATTTTCAGGAGGCATTCCCAATCTAATATACAACACAAAGAACAACAAAACATTTAAATTACATCAAAACTTTTTATTTTGTATACTTTTATTTGCAGGTTGGTTGAAAAAAATCATGTACAGAAAAATTGGAAAAATTATGAAATGTAAAGGCAAAACAAAAAATAACATATTATTAGTATTTTAATTAAATACATGATTCAGTTTTATTTTATATTATTTTTTAATTTATAAAAGTTAAGTAGAAATCTTTTTTAATATAAATTTAAATGCATGAAATTATGAATAAAAACTACTCAAATCACCCATAAGACTAATATGAGCAAACCGGTATGGGATTAAATGTTAAAAGGGAATGGGGATGTCCTGCCTGTCATTTTCAATTTAGACCCATCTCCAGACTTCTTGGTCTTGTTGATGAATACCAAAATATCTCCTTCATAAACTTTGTCATCTACGTCAACACATGCCATACTGTGCATGGAAATGGACGGAATTCCACAAAGATCTTCAATAGAAAATTAAAATTGCTATTACTATTAAACTGTTAATTATTGATTCAATAATGAAGAACGGATAAAATTGGTACCTGATGAACAAATTTTTTTAAACATAATAGAACTAAAAAGCAACCCTAGTCCCTACTTAAAACTTTTCAAGTTTAAATTTTTTTAAATTAAAAAAAGACTATAACCATTCATTTTATTATTAGACTTATTCAGATGTTTAGTGATTAAAAAAAATAATAAAAAAGAATCACTTCATAATTGACAATGATAATAGCCATTTCTGGCATCTTGATCGAATTAAAGTAACTTTCGATTTGGCGACATTTTAATACCTCTCCCTTTCCCTTGCGTGATGAATAACCTTTCATTGACTTGGTCATTTTTAATAACTCAAATATGTTCAAACTTGAGAATGAATGTAGTTTCTAAAGCACTAAATCATATTTTTATGGAATAAATATTTATGTGATATATGCTTACCAAATGGTTATATTAATCTTGTCTGTGACACAAAAAAAACTTGTAGCATAAATTTCATAGAATCACTGGAACACAAAAACTAATACGTCACCAATGAGGAAAGCAATTATTTATTTATTTAAGACAAGAAACAATGTGACGCAGTATCAGTATGCAATTTTCATGTTGCCATAAGTATAAGCCATAATGTAGAACACATTTTTAAAAACAGAGTGGCATCAAGGTACCCATAGTAAGGCAATATCTTCTTTAAATGGCAATTTACTGACTGAGATAACTTAAAATGATACAATAATTTATGTAGCAATGCTAATACTAATAGCCTATTAACTCTTTCCATGCCAGGGGGTTTTCCACGTTCGTGCCAGACCAGTATTGAAGTTGTACTCCTCTACACTACCAATACAAACTGCACGGCCATATTCTTGAGCAAGTTTCCTCCGTAAAGTACCTGGGTGTTACCATTCAAAGAGAGGTCCGATGGGATGAACATATTAACAATGTATGTAACCAAGCAAACAAGACCCTAGGGTTCTTAAGGCGAAATCTAAAGATTGGCAACTCCTGTGTGAAAGAAAGAGCATATAAAGCCTTTATCCGTCCGATTTTAGATTATGCATCTTCAGTCTGGGACCCATTTACCCAGAAGAGCATTGACAGGTTGGAGGCGG